GAGAGAGAGAGAGGGAGAGAGAGAGACTGAATGAATGAAAAATAAAAATCATATATCATTGCAAATATTGCTCTCAAGTTCTATAACTTTATTATTCTGTTCCCAAAAAATCTACTCAAATCTTAAAAGACTGATAATAAAGAGTCAGAAAAAGGGAGAATATAGTGATGTTTATGATCAGAATTTTAAAGACAATAATCTATTTAAAAGAAAAAAGTTAAGAAACGTTTTGTTAAATCATTAAATTGATCGGAAATACTGTATTTTAGAAAAGCTTTACCAAAAATATTGGGAAATTCACATAAAAATCTTTACTAAAAATCAAAACAAAATTATTCAAATGAAATATAAAACATACAAATATTCTTGAAATTTGAATTTATGAATACAAAAGATGTTTAGATTTATAGTTTGATTTGCCATTAAGTATTGTGTAAAACAAGAATATTATTTAGAAATTATACTTAATTTATGGCATTTATGTCAAAACCAAAACCAATGAAAAGTAAATATCATTTGAATTTTATTATACAGTATTTCATACAAAAATAAATTGCCTTTGTGTTTAAAAATTGAATTTGATTCCCAAAAATACTCGAAAATTCAATAAACATTTTTACAGTAAATAATTTTTAAAATTCATATTTTTCTGATATATTTATAATATTTATTGTTATATTTGTGGTGGGAATGGGTGACCAAATAGGACGGCCTCTGGCAGTGTTTTCTCTCGCAATCGGATTCAGTTGTCGACAGAAAACATAAATTGAATAAAAAATTTCTAAAACGAAATGATAACAAAAATCTTAATATAAATGGAAATCCGAGTCATAGGAAAAGTGATGGAAAGGGAGCTGAAAGGAGACAATCGACTGATTTATTATTACAGTTGTCGTCATCGGCGGCACAACAGCCGTCACCAACACATCCCATATCTCGCTATCGATTTGGTATGGATTCAGCAAAACTCATGTGTTGTGCGAAAGCAAAGTCCGATACGTGTAGACAGTTGTGCCAAAAGGTAGACACCATTTGATCCACATTTACCTCAATATGAATATATGGATCAGTAATCAACCATATCTTAAGACATCAAAACAAAAATAATTCCTAAAAACAAAACATACAAATATTATAATAGTCTCTATACTATATTTGGTAATATATTATGTATGGTATAAAAATTGCATGAACTAAAACCTAATGTCCGATTATCAATTTTAAAGTAAAATGGATAAAACTAAACAATAGATTTCAATTTTGTAAACATTTTGTAAATTTTGTAAACAGTTTTCACAGTAACATAGGCTTATACTTTAGTAGAGCAATGTTAGTTTAATATTTTAATTAAAAATAGAAATGAATAAAATATTTATAGAAACAAAAGAATTATTCACTGAAATAATCACAGAATTATTAAAAACAGTGACACAAGCAGTGAAATAATTATAATATGATTATTGAATATTAGAATAAATATACTGTAATACAGTAGATGTTTTTGAATATAACTTAACTTAAACAGTAATAAAATAAAAATAATTTATAAAATATAATAGAAATATACTTTCAATTTTTAAAGATAATATCTTGCTTTACTAATATAATTATACTAATTATAATTGTGAATTCAATGAATTTTGAATGCAATGAATGCCATCTGTTATTTCATTACAAACATATTCTGAAAACAGAATATTCTGCGAATTCTTAGCACTAATAAAAGTTTTATTATCTCTTGCAAGACATGGAGCGATGAATGGCTGGAGAATTGGCACCAATTCGACCGAATCTGTCAGTACTCACCACAAGAGATACAACTAATCCAGTGTTTAGACGACGTGGAAGGGGTCTGTGAGTCGGGCTGTCAGGCACTGGAGTTTTGCGAGTCATTCAACAACAGACCCAATCAGTTGTACCGCAAATGTGACGCCAAATCAGATTTGGAGGCGAAGGAGGACTTCGAGTCGTGGATGAGAGGAGTGATTCACTTCAATATTATTGAGATACCGGTGAAGAATGTGGCCAATTGTTACCCACAGTTCTGGAAACTCATTGCCTGTAGTATTCATGTGAAGCCATGTCTTCAAGATAATCACTTCAACAATATTTGCCGGTATTTCACATTATAATAGTCTATTAAATATATTATTAAATGTCTAATTAATTGATTCATGTCTTAAGGTCTTCGTGTATAGACATCATAAGTGAATGTATTGACTCGAATCGTATTCCTTCGACATTACTGTCCGCTCAGACTATATGTGATATGATATCGACAAACAATTCCGTCAATTGTATTGATATCAAGACTTTTTTTAATGAAAATCAAAATATGATTGACATGAACAGCGAGAGGACAGATGTGCTCATAAATCCTTGTAATCCTAATCCCTGTTCATCTAATCAGATATGTTTAGTCAATAATAATTGTCTATCCAGTCATTGTTTGCCGTTTAGATGTGTCAGCGCCTGTCGTTTGGGTCAGTTTTTATACAATTTGTTTAAATACTAAATAAAATAATTAAATTATATTTTTAGGCGAAATATCACCTTTTTTGGTGATGTTCGGCACAGTAGTTAAGTTGTTAGATGTGGTGGATGAGTGCCACCATCTGTGCAAATGTGGACCAAAGGGGCATCTCATTGATTGTCATAAAGTTTGTGACAAAAACTTCCGTAAAGATTGTGAAGTGAATCAGAAAAATATCACTCATTTAACACAAATGACAACTAATAGCAAACAATGTGTTTGTTTTAATACGAGAATACAATGTGTTGACAGGTATTTAAAAATTGCTTACATTTTAATTTTATCTATAATTTATGTTTTATTCAATTAGTGGATGTATTAGTGATTGTCTTCAAGACTATCGACCTGTTTGTGCTATCAACGGCCAGACATTTCCCAATCAATGTTATGCCAAATGCAACGGATTTTCTGATGAGGAATATGTATCAGAAAGATGTGAATCAATAGTGGATTGCGTTAAATGCACTGAAAATCAAAGGTTTAATTCACTATAAGTTTTTATTTACTCGCTATTAATTTGATTTTAAATACCGTAAACAGATGTATAAAGAAAAGTCAAGTGTGTCTCACATTAGACCAGTGCCCACAATATGAATGTATATCCGATCCGATCGATTGCCAACTTTTTGGCACAAACCCTGTCTGCGATACTAATGGTCTGAATCATCAGAACTTGTGTTGGCTTTTGAAGAAACGACAAAAGTTTGCTTATTATGGAAAATGTCTGGTAATTAGATATACAGTAGTTTTCAATGCTCTTATGAAAGCATTAAAAAAATATTTTGAAAAGTTTTCAATTAATTTCATGGATTTTGCAGTTTTATTGCTCCCATTCCGGACCCGTGTGTGCAATGAATGGCATAACGTATGCCTCGGAATGTGTTTCGCTCTCACATGCCGTTCCAGTGGACTACTATTCAAACTGCAATCACACCCACTCTTGCCATAACATCCAGTGCCCACAACAGCCTCTCTGTCCCCAACACTTCCAACAC